ACCCATCATAAAGCTCCACTCTTGTACATTACAAAGTGGAAGTGCCGCAAGGAGCCTGGGGCCAGCGGGGACTCCCCGCTGGCTCCGGGTTTCATGCAGCGTGCTAACATTGAAATGTACCGAGTGGACAAAAAATTGGTGGTCACTTGAGTCCACCTCACACTTTTTTGACTGTGCAGTTGCTAAACCAACATTGAGGATGGAATAGGCTCGCAGCAGATTACCTACTCTGAGTGATGGGGTGGCAGTGGGAGAATATGGCTACATAGGTTACAGTCCCTTCCCATAGTTCCTCCTGTTGCAGAGTGGCTAAGTGCTACCCTTCTCTACGGACTGTGTGCTTGTGACTGAACCTCTCTCAGTAGTCTCTTTTCTGCCTCTGGGATGGGAGAATCACAGAACTGGTGCAAAGCTCATGAGCAAATTAAAAAAAAAAGTCATTTGAAACCAAGATAATTTTCACCCCACAAGAGTGTCGGTTTCATGAGAAAGGTGCAGCTGGGGATAGAGACAGGCATAACTTATGTATTTGCCTCCTAAAAAGACTTTAATTATTTAATTGTTCCCTGGCTTATCAGCTGGAACAGTAGCCTGAGAAGCAACAAAGGCACCCCAGAGTCACACACATGCAGTAACAGTGCCCAGAGGAATATTTTTCACCTCTGTAAAATGTAATCTTGCTTCTGAAGCTAAAAATATCTTCTGGTAATTCCTCTCATTTGTGAAGCCTCTTCTCTCTGTGTTGTCCTTCGATTTTGTAATGAGATTTTAACATTTATTTTTAGAGGACGTTCCTTTACAGGATTACCCGCTCTTTGGGGGCAGAGTCTTTCTTGTAGTTCTGTATTTGTACAGCACCTACCCCAGAGACAGGGGTCCCTGGTCATGATTGGAGCTGTCAGGTACAACTGGCATTGAAATAATATAGAAAAAATACAAAAAAAAAATCATTTTTACCATGTTGTTGATGTTAACAGGAGAATAAAGAATTCGCAAAGTGTTCTCTTGAAAGAAGAGCGTATGGATAAGTAGGAGAGAAGCTCTTTTATAATTTTTGCTGTATCTATTAAATTATAGGCAGTCCCCGAGTTACGCGGATCCGACTTATGTTGGATCCGCAGTTACGAACGGAGCTTTTCTCGCCCCAGAGGACACGGGCAGCGGGACCGCCCAGACGCGCTGCGGTCCCGCCGCCTGGGTCCTCCGCAGCTTTGCTCCGCGTCTCCCTGGTCTGCTGCGAGAAAAGCCCCATTTGTAAATACGGATCCGACATAAGTCGGATCCGCGTAACCCGGGGACTGCCTGTACATGTACAAAGGATAGAGACCCTGATGTGTGATCTGTGATTTTTACTCAATAGGTTTACTCACATGTGTAAAATTGCGCACGTGAGTAAGAGTTTGCAGGATCAGTACTCTTGTTGGGAAAAGAGATGATAAAGACATGATTATAAAAAATGGGCAGTAAAAGTGGTTTACAGTGTGAATGCTTGTCTTACACATTATGGTAAAAAAGAATCTGAGTTTGAAGGCAGTTGTGATACAGCTCATATAATCTGCCAGGCAAGTTTATTTACAAGTGGCCTTCTGTGAAATCACTCTCTTCTTCAAAGCCATTGATGACCCCTGATTCTCATGAAATGCTGATCTGTTAAGACTGTTTATTTTCCTTATTTTGAGCAGAGTCAATATCCTTGAACTTTAACAGCATATATCAGATTTCCAGGAGGAAAAAATAAACTTAATGTAGCCTGTACTAAGATCCTATGTAAGCACCTACTGCCTTGTTTGTGTAGTTTAAGTTTTTAGCTTTTCATTTAAAGGTCTGTTCATGCTAGGTGTCAACCATAGAGTAGACAAGAATGGCAAAATGCCATTGGTTTCAATAGCAGCTGAATCGAGCTCCCTGTTTAGTATGATATTCAAATATAGGTTCTATAACATCATTTCTTTTCTGCCCATTGCATCCTATAATGTCTGACATTCATTCACAACAGATTTCTGTACAACTGACTGAAAGATCAGATCATGAATGCAATACTGGTTTATCACTGATTGAGTTTTGATTAAAAATGGATGAATCTGGACGCCAGTTCCGACTTACATACAAATTCAACTTAAGAACAAACGTACAGTCCCTATCTTGTACGTAACCCGGGGACTGCCTGTATATCTTTGTTATTTACAATAGAGGTTGCATCAAAAGAGTAGATTGTAAGGAAGTGTTCAACAGGTTGAATATCAGATATTCCTGAAATCCTTCAAGGCTTATCCTCACCTTGATATGCATTGGGAACAGTCAGTGCTACATTATATTTGGATGTGAAGTGGGAATTAATCTGTTTGCTGTTCTTCTCTTTGTAGATACTTACCTGTCTCTCATCACCTTAGTATCTGAGACCCTCAGAATAATTAATTATCCTACTTAGTCATTCTTACAACTCTCTGAGGCCAGGTCTACATTAGAGGGGAAGGTCAACCTAAGACATGCAATTGCGTAGCTGGAGTTGACTTATCTTAAATCCCTGTCCACACAGCGGGAGGTCGTCGGGAGCAAATACTCCCATCAGTTTCCCTTACTCCTCGCAAGGAGCAGGAGTACCAGTTCTGATGGGGACACCTTCTCAGTTTGAACTGGCAGGTCTTCACTAGACCCGTTATATCTAACCCTGGAGGCTTGATTGCAGCAGCAGCGTAGATCTTCCCCCTAGTGTAGACATCCCCAGAGTGCCTATTTTCCATGTGAGAGGCTGAGGCACAGAGCAGAGTAAGAGACTTGACTAGGTCATATGGGAAGTGTGTGGCTGGCTTGAGGGGGTAGCAAGCAGGGCAATTGCCCATGACCCTAAACCGCTGGGGGACCCTGCAGAGCTAAGTTGCTCAGCCTGCAGCTTCAGCCTCAAGGTGGGGCTTCCGTGTTCACTTTCTGCCCTCGGTTGCAGTGAGTCTAATGCCGGCCCTCCTTGGTGGACCCCCTGAAACCTGCTCATGCCCCCACAAGGGGCCATGGATCCCCCTTTGAGAACCAGTGCACTAGAGCATCCTTCCTCCCTATCGGTCATGGGGTTACTGTTACTGACAGTTTACAGGTTGGACCTCCATGGTCCAGTACCTTTGGGACCTGACTAATCCCAAATGAGGGGATTTGCTGGACCAGGGGAGGTCCCTCCCCTCTTGGCCGTGCCGAACTGCTGCCCCTTGCTAGGGCTTCAGCCTGGCCCCACTGCTGCCTTGCTGGATGTGTCTCCCTGAGCTAACACTCTCTAGCTGTCCCTGGCCTTGCTGCTGCTGCGGCTGTAGCTCCCTGGCTGCCACCACAGCCGGAACTGCCCGTCAGGGTTGGAGCTCCCTAGCTGCTACCAAGGCCGAAGCTCTGTGGCTGGGGCTGGAGCTCCATGGACACTGCTAGCCGTCCCGCTACTGCCCAGCCACTGAGGCCAGAACTCCCTGATGCGGCGCCCATCCCTTTCCCCGCTCAACTACCATGCTCCTGCCCTGCTGGCAGACCTCCCTGTACCTGGCCTCTGTGGTCCAGTATTGTATCATGCATCCAGGCACATCTGTGGTCCTGCCAGAGCATGGATATTGCTGGTTAAGGGAGGTACAACCTGTATTTCTTTTTTGTAATATATGCAAACCCTTTGTTATTGCTTTCACCCTGTATAAAGGTCGGCATTTCCATTTGCAAAGTTGCAGGGCTCTGATGGAGAGCAATATTGTTCCATTAATTACTTTCCCCTATGGTTTCGCTGATCAGTGAGATGAATCAGTACAGGACTACAGTACAGAAAAAGCATTGGGTTCCCTTTGTAGTGTCTGAGCAGCTAGTTAAGTAGTCATCATCAAACTGTTTGACATTCTAAGCCTCATTTTGTGTGTGATCCCTTCTTAATTTCTCTGAATGTCTTTTGTTATTTGTAAAAGTTCACTGACGTGTTTAGATAAATATTTCTTCAGACTATTGTTGGTTCATAAACTCTTTGCAAATTGTTCACTACCACTATTAATTATTCACAATTCCCAATAAGTGATTGGCCATCTGATGTTGTTTCCTTACCATGATTTGAAGCTTTTTGGCTGGAGACTAGCAAATAACTAATAATCATGAGAAATTCTGATTCAAATTCATAACGCTTTGGGGAGTCACAAATATTACCAGGAAAAACAACGATCTTCTGATTATTAATAAATAAATAATGGGTGCTATCTCTCTCTGAGTTATAATGAATCAAATTCAAGTAGATCACATGTGAATTTGTTCCTGAATCTGTTTCTTTGTTACTTGGCTATTTCTATTTCTTTTTGCTTACCTTCAAGCCCTCTACATAGCCATAGCTGTTTTGCTACTTATGCTCAGCCTAGCAAAAGGCACATAGAAAATGAGCCACAGCTGCATATTATTTCTCTCCAGATGTGTCCCAAATAGCCAAGAAAACACGTGTTTCTCTGAAAATATCAAAAATGAATTGGGGGGAGGGTTGGAGGGGGAGGGAGAGTTGGCAGGACCTTTATCACCAGAAGCATAGGTCTAGGTCACTTGAGTTAAAGGAATGACTCTGTCACCTGTCAGCAGCAGAAGACTCTTCTGGGAGTTTTTTGAAACAACAAGCAGAGCATCCACACTACCAAGCCCGTTGTTTTGAAATAAGGGGCTGGTTATTTGAAAATAATAGCTCCTGCTTGTGACGAGGAATAAGCTTATTTTGAAATAGTTATTTTGGGAGTTATTATTTTGAAATGAAATAATCTGGTAGTGTAGACATCACCTTATTTGCTGAGTGATATAATTAGTGTGTTCCACTCAGATGGTTACCCTGAATGGTAATAAGTTCTCCAAGTCCCCTCCTTCCTCTCTATTGATGGTTTTGTCACCTGCAGAGTTTGGTCTCTTCTTTTCCTCTTGCTTTACAGCTTTATTACCCCTGGGTTCATCGGTACCTTTGAGGCACAGCCCTGCAAGAGGGGCAATGTGGAACTGCACTCTTCCAGGGGAGTTATAGTATGGAAATCCACATAGTGGAGGAAGACTCCCTCTCCTGTTACACCCCTTTTATGGATAATAGTTTATTCCCCTTGGGCTTTGATATCCGTGCAGAGACAGGTCCAGGACTTCTCTTCCTCCTGAGCCTTCTGGGAGCTATGCACTGCCAAGCTCATATGTACTGGAGCAGTAGGAGCTTCAGTGACTTCAGTCAAGTGAGGCCCTTGCAAAGTTTGCATAAGGAGGGGAAAACATAGATTTGTTGGGGCTTTCACCTCTGCTCCTGCACACACAGTGCAACCATGAAAGGGCAGGCTCAGTCTGGCCCTAGATTAGCTCTACTGTAGATCTAGCCAGTGTAGCAACTATTTCAAATTGAAAGTAATCCAGGTATTTTGCTTATCCTCTATATTCATTGTACATCTTTGCAGTATCCACAAATATATCCTGTGTGATCACTTCAAGGGCTTTCATCTGGAAAGTAGGATTTAGATTATGCTAGATTCTGGGATTTACTATGAGAAATGGCTGCTGTCTTTGTAAAGAGGCTTCTTTCAGGCTATTTTTACTTCAGTTGAATCACTGTAAAACTCATTTACAAAAGTCTCAAAGAGTAGGCCCTTTGGAATATGACCCTTGATCTCGGTATTCAGACAGCAAAGTTGAATCGCTATTGATAATTTCCATGTTTTTATTTTCGTAAGTACTGCAGACTTATTGGTAAAATGTTGTGTTTGTTTTGATTTAAAACAGTTTAAAACTCCCTGCGAGTATTTGTAATCTCTTAATTATTCCCTTGATAATGCAGCTAAATTAAGTCCCTGAAACTGAAATGTTAGGAACGTTCAAATACCACTTGTTTGGAGAAGCAAACGTTTTAGGTTGTTACAAACAGAATTAAAATAAATTGGTAGATTTAAGTACTAGATTGGAATCTGCCTGTGAAAATAAAATTATCAGAAGGTTTAAGAACCTGAGACATGAATGGAGCTTTCTGACCGGCCATCAGAAATGTGGTACTATGCCAATAATTCATGGGACTGTCTGTTTTTTCCTTATTTTTCTTTATCAATTTCATTCCACAGTATTGAGAAGAAGCTCCAGACACTGCATTTATCTGGTGGTAAAATTCACTCTGCTTTCTGCCCTGAGTCTTATAGCTTTATTTTAGATGCAATATAATGGCCCAGAAAAGTATTTTTGTCTTGTCTTATTGCTCAAATATAGTTTGTGTAAATTCTAAGTCATTTGTAGTAGAGAAAATGTTGTCCTTTTATGTTAGATGTTTCAGGGAATAGGAAGCAATTCTGTTGTAATCTGGAAGTCCTTGAGAAACGCTGGTGCTAAAGACCTTGAATGCAGAGTGACATTGATCCCAAGGTTTACAAGTGAATATATTGCATATTTGTAGCACATAACCTTAATGTTATAGGGTACAAATGCCAAAGTGACTTAGGAGCCTAAGTGTATTTAAAAAATCAGTAGGACTTAGGCTCCTTTTAAACTTTCCCCCAGAGTTCTGAAGTGTATTTGTTTTTTTAATTTGCTCTTTCTCTTTCTCAGCTTCCCTTTGTAGATGATGGGTACCACTTTTATCATAATGGCATCTCTAGGGCCAGGAGAAGACGCAGTCTTCAGCACAAGCTTCATTTGGAAAAAGACCCGAGGGTAAGCTTTTCCCATTGATTTGCCATCCAGCAATCATGATTTCCATGCCAACCAACTGTGTGGTCTGAGATCAGATAACTGTGAAGTCTTAACACAGGTAATTCCACACTTGACCCAAGCTTTGTGGATGCTGTATGGAAACTGAAACAACCTAAGCCTCAATGTTAACAAGACAGTACAGCTTTGAGCTTGATTCTCCCCCTCCCCTTGCTCGTTGAAAACGGCACTTTCTGCTAGCAATCTCACTTGCAGCCAAGCAGTTCCAGGAACCATGTTTCAAACATAGACAAGACAAGTTGTACATTCAGCCCCTCAGACTTTTTGACTTTTGTTCCAGCAACCTCAGGTCCCACATGCAAATGAAACATGTTGTTTTAAGAAGCAAAAACAAACCAGTCAAGCAAATGTAGCATTCAACTCACTGGCAGAAAGGAAAGGACATTTTCTGTAATGCCGGGATTTAGCAGCATTTTCTTTGCTTTCTCTTCTTCAGAATTTTTGCATCTATATTAGGCCATGGGTCATGCCAAAAGAAAATAGTTGCTCTTTGCATTCACCTTATGAAAGCAAATAGATGATGAACTTATTCCCCTGCATGCCCAAATCTATTTCTGTTGGTGTGGGAAAGGAGAGTTGTACTGTTCCATTCTACCTCTGTTTGTATTGCCCTTTCCACCATCATGGTATTTGAGCATCTTTCCCAATTAATAAATAAAGAAACAAGAGGGAAAAAAAGTTATGTTAGCTAATACTGAGAATCTGCCTGTTGCTATGTTGGGAAACAGGGTTGAAGAATTTCTAGCTCACTCTCTCTGCTGTTTCAGGAGAAGATTAAAGTAATTTTGGGCACGGATCCACCGGAAATATGGCACCCCTCCAAATTGTCATCAGCCCATCTGACAGCTGGCAATGTATGCTGTGCCAGTCACCCTAGCTGAAACCATGCAGCTCCCAGCTGCTGGCTGCCCCTGCTTCCTTTACATCACCCTGTGCTGTGATACTGCAAGTTCAGTGAGGCATTATGGGTTCTGTGTCAGTCTCAATCAGGTGTGCCTCATGTCTATTGATACTCTGAACTACCACCGTCAGAGGTAAAGTATCTTCATGCCCATTTATTCTTGGGTTGCCAACAAAGGCACTGGCTAGACTTTGGGTATGGGTGTGATGCAGACCCTGCCCCCCTTAGGATGAAACTGAGATTCCCAAATTTGTTTCATGTAATCTACCAAAGAAGGATTGGCCAGTAACAACTTTCAGACAATACTATCCATTGCAGGATACTAACTAGTGGACAGAGAAGTGAAAGTGACCAGTTTCCCTGAACCATACAGTCCTTAAATAGCCCTTATATTAAGAACTATTTAATAAAAATAAAGGAATAGGCAAATACTATATGAGCAGTGTAGCTGTATGTACTATTTATAAGTCTGGAAATTAAGTGGAAATTAAGTCTCCCTTAAGTCATCAGTGGGTCTTCAGTATTACAAAGGAAGACCTCTCAGTATTAGTTAATACCAGACTTGCTGTTTCACTAACTACAGCAATATTTGAACTGTTTGACTGCCTAATATAAGCGATATGGAGATTATTTAATTGTATGTAGCTTACAATTCAGAGCTGTTTTACTGGTGTTCAATGGAAGCAAAGAGCACTTCGGTCCCCAGGGTTCTCAGTCAGGGATGTTTCAAAATCAAAACATTTATTTGAATTTTTTATTTTTAATTTCCACTGTCTCCTGTTTATCCAACTGATCCCTCCTCTGCTCACATAGAATAATGACGACTTAGCTTTAGGAACTGCTGACCTGCTCTGTCCTACTGAATAAATCCATATCCTAAAATAATTCGGAATGTCCCCCAAACATGGCAAAGGATGGCCATGGATAAGCCAAGATATTTTGGTGCACTGTTCAGCTTCAAGAAGAACTGCTGATCTGCTTTAATTTCCAACTTGGAAATATACTCTTAACTTTCTGGTTCTTTGCTGTCTTTCTGTGATTGCTCAGTAGGCTCATTGACATTTCCTGTATGGCCCTCCTAGCAACTTCTTTTGTAGCCTCCCACCATTCCTAATATGCCCCATCTTTTTTTGTTTTTAAAGGATACTCTCTTCTAATGAAATCCAAACCTTTCAGGCTTCTCTTTGCTCGTAGAGTTTCTTGGCTCCTAATGAGGTGACTTTTGGTCAAAACACCATAACTTAGAGAATAGTAATTGCTGACACTCCAAAGTGTTATTTCAGTGCCATAATAATTCTCCCCTCATGAATGGTGAGATAATGTGTGTGTGGGGTCTTCAAAGCTCTCATGGTGATTTTAAGAAAACAGAAGTGCAGATTAGTCTTTTTGTATTAAATGCATTATTAGCACAAATAAAACTAGCTCTGATCACAGTGATCAGAGTGGGAGCAGTCATTAAAGTTGTAGCTGTTTGTATGGGACTACAGACTCAGCATTCTACTTTTGAACTCCAAAAATAGTGTCTGGTGCCATCTGTGCACCTAAGTGTAGTGACTTCTTTCTGGGCCATTTCCACCCCACCCCAATTATTATTGAGAAATAAGTGTCAGCATTGCCATGGTTAATAAATTCAGCACATTAAACTAAGAATAAATTCTAGAGTTGTCAGCATAGCCAGAGAGCAAAGTGTCTCCAAAATGCAGGGTACACTGAATCTCTGGTGAGCCACTAGGTCAAATTTGTATTTGTGTCTGTTTCTACCAATTTTTTTTTGAGAAAGAGAGAAATAAAAGCTGAGTATGAGCTGAAGTGGTAATCAGAATGTGTTTTTCAGTTCGAAGAGACTACAGTTCCTGGTTAATTTTAATTATTAGTTGAAAACAGTGCAGATGTTCATTCAATTAATTAATGTTATTTAATCACGGAAGTCCCTTGAGAAACCATGTCAGTTCTGCAAGTGTCCTGGGAGACAGGCATCAGAATGCTTCTGCAAAGAGGTTACTGTATAATCTTCCATATGCCACACATGCAACTGTTGGAGCTGGAACTAAGCTTGCTGGAGGTGCTGCTATAGTCCCTGCCTTGAAGAGGTTTCCATCATGCACTAGGTGTATAGTTTAGGTCAATGGCTCTCAGCACTCCCACTATACAAATTGTTTCAGCCTCCCTGAATGCAACAAGATGTCTTTCAAGTTCTTGAAAATGGGGCCAGTTGTGCAAAATGTTCTGTACATGTGGTGCCAAAATAATTCTGAGATATGTCAAATGTATTCAGAAAGTATGAGACAAAAATCAATACTGTTGAGAGAGCTGGGTTCAAATGTACGCTAACATACCTTTATAGAGTTCCAGCAGGAACTGTAGCACTGGGGCAGGAGGATTAAGAGGAGCTTAGTAACCTCTAATAATGATAGAACCCTGTTGATAAGAAACAGGCTTTGCTAGGATAAAGCCAGGAAGCAACATGGGATTGTAGTGAGGGAGCTTGTAGTTACTCTCTGGACAGTAGATTGGGAAGGAAGGAAGGAAAACAAGGTGGAGAGGGTGTAGGAAAAGGATCAGGGAGAAGACAGCATTTGCTGTGTAGAGGGTCTTTGAGTTTGAACCCAGAGCGAAGAATGGGGTTCAGGTTTCCATCCCAGCCACTGGGGAAGTGGCACTGGCTTGAGCAGGGAAGGAAGACTGCCATTTTGGAGAAAGACTTTGATACCTGACGAGAGGCAAACACGTGATCTGCCTGGAGGGCCAAGCAATGAAGACAAGAGCACCCTGAGTTGTGCAGAGAGTAGGGGGAGGGGGCAGTAAGCAGCAGAAGTGCGTGTTGGACCTGGAAAAAGCTAATCCCCAGAATGGCTGTAGCAATGGGTGGACCCTGAGACAACTCCCCATGCCCAATCCTTTCTTCTATGCTAAAATAACAATGATGGATAAATCAGTGGCTATAACCTGTGCCAATCATTTGGTTCAACCCTGTATCCTGAACCCTTAACTTTGATGATCACAGAATGCACTTCTGTTGGTGTTGCTGGGGAAGGTTTCAAAAGCCCTGCATGGTTTTACAATCTTCCTCACCGCTGTCTACAGTGATGTCTGTGGGATGAAGAAGCTGTGGATGTCTGGCACCGCACCCATTCCTGGGCAGTTTTGTGGCCAGGATTACAGGGTAATGAAGCAAAAACAGCAGTGGCAGATGATTTGTTTGAATAGACAGGCTCTTCAAGAGTACATCAGCCTGCTGATGCAAGGACTGGAGCTCAGTTGTGGTGGTTGTTAAAATCACAGTAGTGTTCGGGATGGTGGTGTGAGTGGGAGGCAAACAATGAGGATTGGGGTATTTATCAGTCATTGTGGGAATACAGGGAAGCACAACAATTTCAGTGAAACTAAAAAGCATCAGTAGCTTCGTCCTTCCCTCCCCCAAAATTATTTTTATTGTTTTGTTTGTTTGCGGTACTAACCTCCTGCAGTCGAGCAGGAAAGTGCTAGTTGATTGCAGAGTAGAGACTGTGTCAAGAGCAGAGCCCTTCCCAGCCTGGTAGCTGCAAGTAAACAATGGAATTTCTTTCCTTCATGCGTATTATAACATCTTAAAAGAGAGCTCAGAATCCAGCCTCCTGCTGGAAGGCAATAATGGATTGTTAACAAATGTTTTGAATACACAACTCTTAGTTCACCTTTAATTTTTTTTAAAGTTTTTTGGCTTTGTTGGTGATATGTAGTGCCTCTCATATAAGGATGATATGCAGTGCCTCTTGTATAAGGATGAGGAGTTGCAACTCAGTATGTAAAACCTGTTTGTTCTCTCCAAGATTGCTTTGTTTTCTTTCAAATTTTAAATGAAGACATTTCCCTCCCACACAGTCTCTCTTTTCAGGGAGCTGCCTACATTAATGCCACTCAAGAAAGAGGCTTTAATATAGGGAGGGGATTTGGTTCTGTCTTCACATGTATACACACATTCAATTTTGAGTACGGTGCTTCGATGCTATCGCAATGAGTGCATTAAAAAGACACATTCAGAGGAATAGCCACCTACCAGTGG